TCCAATATTAGGTTAAACAGAAGTTCTTGTTTTTGAAAATTGAGTCAAGCTGGTTGGCGGACTAGAATAGAATGGGGTGCATAGAATGGGATGGGTGGACTGAAGGGTCGGGGGCATAGGAGAGGCAACTAATTGATGTGTTTCTCTCACATCAATGTTTCTCTCTGTGTCTCTCCCCCTCCACTCTCTCTAAAAATCAATGGAAAAATACCCTGGGGGAGGATTAACTCAAAATAAATAAATAAATAAATAAATAAATAAATAAATGAGTCAAGAAATGGAGAACTAAATCTGTTTGGAAGGAAACCAAGTAACTGAAACTCACAGGCCCCCACCAACTGATGCCCTTTTCCCCCCTTCACAACTCTCAAGGGTCAGAGACTAGTAGATATCATTTATTGAGCAAATGCTATATGTCAGGCAGTGTGCTAGGTGCTTTACTTGTGTTAGTTTTTTTAACACGCCTGCAAGTTAGGTGATGCTGCCCCCATTTTATAGGTGAGAAACTGATGCTGAGTAAAAGGAAGTTTTTCACACAGCGCCATGTTGTTAAACCGTATAGCTGGGATCTGTCTGACTCCGGATCATACCCAGTACTTCTTCAAGTTTGGCCTTCAGCTTACTGGCTCAGGATCATCAGGCTGCAGAGTCTTAGATCTCATCCTTGGACTTTCCTGGGAACCTGCATTTTAATAGATCTCTGGTTTAATATAGAAAGTACAGTACTGTATTGTGCTGCCTCCTAGGGGAAGATCTGGAAATGACAGGGCTTTGCTGAGATCTAGTTTAGGTTTACTAGGTGTGATTTTTTTTATTATTGACATAACTTTTAGTGAGCATAAACCCCTAGGCAGATACTTGCCAAACTGTATAATGTCTTGACACAAGCTTGGTTATTGTGTGTGTGGGGGGGGGGGGCGGTGAGGGATGGACAGAGAGGTGTAACTCCTTTTTAAAAAACATTTCTTTCATTTATTAATTCACTCAATAATATTTGCTAAGAATTTAATAAAACGGCAAATTACTGCTCTCATGAGAAAGATAGAAAAAAAATAAGTGCATGGTAGGCGATGGTGAGAGGGTCAGGGAGAAAAAATAGAGCAAAGTAAAGGAGATAGGAGTGGAAGGCAGGGATGTGCTCAGCAGGCAGCATGGTGGTGGCAGTAGTGCTATTTTATATATCGTGTCCAGCAAGGAACTGATTAAGGCCGAATTTGAAAAAAATTCTAGCATTCCTGTTAGAGGGGCAGCAAAAGTAAATGGAATCAAGAGCCTGCTTGCCTTGTTTGATTATTGCCTGGGATACAAACTATTTTAACCAAAATGTAGGCTACAGACATAAATTTTATATCATTATTTCTAATGGCAAAATAAAATGAAAATATTACCAATGCAGGTGTGTAATATGAAAGGTAAAAGTAACTTAGCTTTTTACCAAACCTAAGTCAAGCAGTTTGCTCCCTTCATCAATTAAAATTAATCATAATCCAGAAATGTGTTGAGAACTTGGCCACAGAGTATTACTTTGAACTAGCTCCTAGACCTCTTAGCAAGGAAACAAATTTTGGGGCCATGTGGTAGTTTATTTTTAACCATTTACTTATTTATTATTGGTTTAAAATCTTTATTGTTCAAAGTGTTACATATGTGCCCTTTTTTCTCCCCTTAATCCCTTATAGCTCACTCCCTGCCAGGGCTATGTGGCATTTTAGAGTTAAGCTTGGAAATTGGAAGATGAGGTTTGGGAATCTGGTTCTACCAGTTGAGCAAGTGACTAAAGTTTGAGTTTGCTCATATTAGAGATAGAATTCATACGCTGTTTTCAAATTTATTGAGGAGGCAAATGGGAGGTGTATTTGAAATATTTTTAAAAGCAGCGAGTTACTGTGCAAGGAACTACCCTATATAATCAAACCCTAATATGCAAATCGACGGAACCACAGAACTACCAGTTGCTATGATGTGCATTGACCACCAAGGGGCAGAGGCTCAATGCAGGAGCTGCTCTGTGGTGGTCACTGTGATCCCACACTGGGAGTGCCACTCAGCCAGAAGCCCGGCTCACAGCTGATGAGTGCACCGCCAGTAGTGGGAGTCTTTCCCACCTCGGCTGCAGAGCTAAGGACCCCTCGTGGGATGTCCGACTGCCTAGGTTGGCAGTTGGACATCCCCCAGGGGTCCTGAACTGCAAGAGGGCTTCGGCCAAGCTAAGGGACGCCCCACCACCACCACTAGTGCACGAATGTTGTGCACCAGGCCTCTAGTCCTATATAATAAAAGCATAATATGCTAAGTGCCTGACCTTTCGACCTTTCATCCAGTTGCTATGATGCGCACTGACCATCAGGAGGAAGATGCTCCGCCCTGTAGGTTAGCTTGCTGCTGGGGTCCGGCCAGTCAGGACTGGGCAAGATATCCTAGACACACCCTGGAGCCCTCCAGTAGTCTCTCACTGCCCCAATCATACACTGGTGGGCCCCTCGGCCTGGCCTATTACCACTCGCAATCTGGGCCCCCTGTAACTCTCTTTACCAATCTGGGGAATGTTGGAGAGCCAGTTTCAGCCCAATCCCTGCAAGCCAGGCTGAGGGACCCCACTGGTGCATGAATCTATGCACCAGGCTTCTAGTTTAATATATTTGATCATGATTTTACATTAAGTTATTTTCTTCTTGGGTATTTTATTATTGTGTTTTATATGGGGCTTTATATTAGAATCAGTATGTCATAGTGCTTGTACTACTGATATAAGCCTTATGGTGGCTCTTTTTGCATCACAGACATAAATGAACATTACTAATAATTTGTAATAACAGAATATAAGGAAGATTTTTTTTTTGGTCTTCATTATATTTACTTGAAGCTTCACCAAATGTTCATTCAATAAACAGATACATAGCCATACATAACAGGCATGAGGCATCGTTTAGTGCTGAGTTATATGGAAATGAGAATAACTTGGTATCTGTCCTTGAATGTATATTCTAGTTACTCTAGTGTGAGAGACACATAAACTTAAGTGTTAAATAGTTATGTGTTATGTTTTCCTTATGTCTCTTTTGCATATCTTAGGTTTGGAAAAGCCTTTTGACTCAGAATTCACCAAGAGTTGTTCCAAAACAGAATGACAGAACATAAGAAGTGCAGTAGAGAGTGGCCTGAAAGTAGGAAGTGAGAAGAGAGTTACAGATTGGTTGCATTGAGGAATGAAGACCGGTGTGTATCCACTAATCTGATTGACTTGCTCAGGGTATGTGGCCATCTAAACCTATTCTTTTTTTCCTTATTTACTTAAAAAAGTTATCAGAGTATCTGTTATTTTACTTTTGTTTAGTGGGATGACCATTCATCCTAAACAAAATGTGGGGTCGTTTTATGTATCTTGTGTTCTTAAATGGGTCTTAGGTCCTGCATTATGACATTTTGGTAATATTAGGTTTATAGAACCTCACAAGGTCCTATTTTTATGTCAGTTCCAAAACAGAAAACTTCCTGACTCCTCCATCTAGTATATTTTATCTCTCTCTGACTATAGTCATAAATTTGTTTATTCATTCAAAATTTTTATAAGCCTGTTCTCTGAGAGTTACAATATTTTATTAATTGATGATTACAATGATGAAAAATGTCCCTTCCTCCCAGAGCTGGAGAGAATCCTACTGAACAAATACAAGAGTGTGGTTGGTACTGTAACAGAGTGCAGAATGCTTTGGGACGGAGAGGGTATAATGATTTGTTTGGGCTAGGAAAGATTGGTCAGTGCTTTGTATAAGAGGTTGAATTTTAATGGGTTTTAAAAATGATTGACAGGCAGAGAGGTGGATGGCCATGCTAAGTTAAGCAAGCAGCTAACACAAAGACACTGATTTGTGAAGTATTTGGTAAACAGTGTAATGCTTTGAGAACCTCTTGCTTTTTCCTCCTCTTTTACTCTTATTACAAGATTTTTCTGTTGTTATAGTTGCCCCTTCTTTTTGGTCAATTTTATCTTCTTTCCTATAGTTACTAATGAAAGGTCTTATGGCACTGGTTCTGTGGTTTAGGACCCAGAGATGCAAGACTACCTAGTTACCCTCCAAGTAGAAGTACAGAGCAACATTATGCCTCTCTTCAGTGTGTGCAATTAGAATAGTAAAGCGAACTTTTATTTGCATGAACAGGGCAGATATGACTCTACACTATAAGAGAGTAGATTAGATCAAAACTTTCCAGAGCATATATCAGACACTTGCTCAATCAGCCCACCCAGACTCTTGACATTCATATGCTTAATAATCTTGTATCAACTTCTCTATCCTCTTTCCTAACAAGTGAAGGAGTGTTGTTCGAAGGCCTAAATGCATTCTGCCCTAGTTTCTTTAAAAACAAACAACAACAAAAAACACAACAACAACATTTATTTTTACTCTATCACTTGCTTTTTCTTCTTTATGTTTATTTTCAGCAAATTAGGGAGTTATTTAAAGAGCCTCTCCCCCCTTCCACTTTTACCCTCCCCCCAAAAAAAGACCATCTTCCTTGTTTTAGGGACTTGCAGGTGGGGATGAAGGTTTGGGATCAGATCCTATTTGCATCCTATTTGGATGTGAAAACCTGAAAAGAAGATAATTGATAGCATATAAAAAGGAGGAAATAGGCCATCCTGATACCCTCTCTGGAGGAAAAAATTATAGGGGGAACCAGGCAGGGATGGAAAAGAATCCTTGAATGATTTTTACTCTCAGGAAGTCCTGTATCCAGTGAATTATTTGCTTTGACTTGGCTGTTTATGGTCTGGTTCTTTTTTTGTTTTGTTTTTTGTTTGTTTGTTTGTTTTTTATCAAGACAAATGAGGCTCAACTAAATGTGACTATAAGATACCTAACCACAAAAAAATTGAACTCCTTTTAACTCTCATGAATGACAAGTAGGGCTGTTAAAATGTTGAGCACTGAGAATTACTTAATGAGGTAACTCTGTATTTTCTCTGGGGTAGGAGGCTAAAGTATCTGTCTTCAGAAATGTCTTCGGAAAATAAAGAGCAACATGACCTTTCAGCCACGGACTCACTTGAAGGAAAAGACCAATACAGTCCTCCATCTTTGATCCATATGGAGCTTGAAAAGGAATCAAGTACTGACTTCCAGCAACTTGAAACCACAAATCAATGCAGACATTATCCTAGGATCCACATGGAGCCTCAAGAGAAATCAAATACTAACTTTAAGAAATTCATCAACAAAAAACTACAGAAGAGTTGCCAGTGCAGCCCAACCAAAGCAAAACATATGATTTTTGGTTTCCTTCCCTTTTTGCAGTGGCTCCCAAAATATGACCTGAAGAAAAATATTTTAGGAGATGTGATGTCCGGCTTGATTGTGGGCATCTTGTTGGTGCCCCAATCCATTGCTTATTCCCTTTTAGCAGGCCAAGAACCAATCTATGGTCTGTACACATCATTTTTTGCAAGCATCATTTATTTCATATTTGGGACTTCCCGTCACATCTCTGTGGGCATTTTTGGAATACTGTGCCTTATGATTGGTGAGGTAGTTGACCGAGAACTAATCAAAGCTGGCTTTGACACTGCTCATGTTGCCCTGTCGTTAGGAATGGTTTCAAATGGGAGCACATCATTAAACCAGACATCAGACAGGATATGTGACAGAAGTTGTTATGCAATTACAGTGGGCAGCACCGTAACCTTTATGGCTGGAGTTTATCAGGTAAGAAACAATGGAATGAGAGTGATGGTTTCTGACCAAAGAAATCACTATGCAAGAAATCTCAGATCTGTAAGGGATCTTAGATATCACAACAATTAAAACTATTATTTATTTAATGCTTAAAATATATGAGGAGTAAAGCCAAAATTTAAACCCTGGTTTGACTCTCTAGGAAAAATAAAGCTGCTTTTCTTTTCTCAACTCCAGGTTGCCCTTAACCAATGAATTTCAATCAACCAGATTTTAATTATTTGGTTGTAAAAACTGAGACCAGAAAGGGACCCCAGACCACCTAACACAACTCTTTGATTTTATATGTTAGGAAAAATTGCTTTGCTTGAGATTATGTACGTTGGTTATTGGCAGAGTCAGCATTACCAGGCAGGCAGGAATGGTAACAGCATGGGAATTAGGAGAGGAGGAGTGCAGGAGTTTTTCAAACTATAGATGACCACCCCCTCTTTCCTATAGAATTGCTAAGATAGTAGTTCTCTTGGATTGTAGCACAGGAAAAAAAGTTGAAGAACCCTATGTTAATTATCAACCAGGAGAAAGGATTAGAAATGAAATTCTTCTTGGTTCTCCTATAGAATCCACTAATCTTCCATTATCATCAAGCCCCTGCCTTCTGGCATCAGGAGTCAGTGCCAGAATTACATCTCTGTTGCAGGCATTTGAAACCAATAAAGGAAGAGGAAGAGTAGCTCGCTTTATTTGGGGCTTGGATGAAGAGCAGAGGAAGTATACAGAGAGTTGTTTTAGGAGTTTAAGGTAGGAATCCTAAGTCACTGTCTCATCTAGAGTAATGAATAATAGTGTGCTTAGCCCTCTGAGTGTCAGTAAAATGAGCCCTGTCTCTAAAATGAGAGGATTGATATATGATTGTGTTTTTCTCTAGCTCCGGTATTCCGTGATGCTCTGATATGTTCTCCATGCAGTAATACAGAATTTAGTGACTCTTTTCCATTTATATTTTAACACTTGTATACTCTTCCTTCCAGGTAGCGATGGGCTTCTTTCAAGTGGGCTTTGTTTCCGTCTACCTCTCAGATGCCTTGCTGAGTGGATTTGTCACTGGTGCCTCCTTCACTATCCTTACATCTCAGGCCAAGTATCTCCTTGGGCTCAGCCTTCCTCGGAGTAGTGGCGTGGGCTCACTCATCACTACTTGGATACATATCTTCAGAAACATCCATAAGACCAATCTCTGTGATCTCATCACCAGCCTTTTGTGCCTTTTGGTCCTTTTGCCAACCAAAGAACTCAATGAGCACTTCAAGTCCAAGCTTAAGGCACCAATTCCTACCGAACTCATTGTTGTTGTGGCAGCGACATTAGCCTCTCATTTTGGAAAACTGAATGAGAAATACAATACCAGCATTGCTGGACATATTCCCACTGGGTTTATGCCACCCAAAGCACCAGACTGGAACTTAATTCCTAGTGTAGCTATAGATGCAATAGCTATGTCTATCATTGGCTTTGCTATCACTGTATCACTTTCTGAGATGTTTGCCAAGAAACATGGTTACCCAGTCAGAGCTAACCAGGAAATGTATGCCATTGGCTTTTGCAATATCATCCCCTCCTTCTTCCACTGTTTTACTACTAGTGCAGCTCTTGCAAAAACATTGGTTAAAGAATCAACAGGCTGTCAAACTCAGCTTTCTGGTGTAGTGACAGCTCTGGTTCTTTTGTTGGTCCTCCTGGTAATAGCTCCTTTATTCTTTTCCCTTCAGAAAAGTGTCCTTGGTGTGATCACTATTGTAAATCTCCGGGGAGCTTTACGTAAATTTAAGGATCTGCCCAAGATGTGGAGGGTTAGCAGAATGGATACAGTTATCTGGTTTGTAACTATGCTCTCCTCTGCACTGATAAGTACTGAAATGGGCCTGCTTATAGGTGTTTGTTTTTCTATGTTTTGTGTCATCCTCCGTACTCAGAAGCCGGAGAGTTCATTGCTGGGCTTAGTGGAAGAAGCGGGAATTTTTGAATCCACATCTGCTTACAAAAACCTTCAGGCTAAGCCAGGCATCAAGATTTTCCGCTTTGTAGCCCCTCTCTACTACATAAACAAAGAGTGTTTTAAATCTGCTTTATACAAAAAAACTCTCAACCCAATCTTAGTGAAGGCAGCTCAGAAGAAGGCAGCAAAGAGAAAGATAAAAAAGGAAACAGTGACTCTCAGTGGAATTCAGGATGAAGTTTCAGTGCAACTTTCCCATGATCCCTTAGGACTCCATACCATAGTTATTGACTGCAGTGCAATCCAATTTTTAGATACAGCAGGGATCCATACACTGAAAGAAGTTCGCAGAGATTATGAAGCCATTGGCATACAAGTTCTGCTGGCTCAATGCAATCCCTCTGTGAAGGATTCCCTGGCCCGGGGAGAGTATTGCAAAAAGGAAGATGAAAGCCTCTTTTATAGTGTATATGAAGCGATAGCTTTTGCAGAAGAATGTCAAAATCAGAAAGAAATATGTTTTCCCAATGGTCTAAGTCTTTCCAGTGACCAATTGGATAAGTAGATGAAAAGAAGAACAATGTCTAGCCAGTAGCAACTTGCATACTTGAAATTTTAACCTATTGGCTAGTCATTATTCTTAGAAGCTGATGGCCTTCATAGATACAGAAGTGCAGCAGAGCTTATACTTGGGCAGAATCAGAAGAAAATGTTGTGGTTTTAAGCTTTCTTGCAAATAGGGAGTGCTCTTGGTATTAAATATCTATTGAACTGTGAAGTAGCCCTTAACCTTAATGATCGTGATCATCGTCTTTTAAAAAAAAAGTTTTTATTGATTTTTTTTTTTGAGAGAGAGGTAAGGGAAAGGGAAAGAGAAATAGAAATATCAATGTGAGAAATATCTATCAGATGCCTTCTGCAACCTGGGCATATGCCCTGACCAGGAATTGAACCAGTGACTTCTTGGTGCATAGGACACCTCTCAACCAACTGAGCCACACTGCCCAGGTATAACCATCCTCTTTGAGGAGATATGCATTTGGACTCTTCCTTCTCTAGGAGGTAAAGGAGTAACATTGGCATTTACATGAGACATGCTCTAGCCTATATGATTGGCTCTTTGGAGAGAGAATGGAAAGGAGGCAGGGAAAGAATGTGTCTGATACTGGACCAACAGATCAAGAGACCTCTGGAGCACAAGGTAATAACTATTCAAGTTTTTTTTCTTATTTGTACTTCTCCATACCCAGTTTCTGCCCTCCAGATGGCAGTGAGATCTTTGACTTTTAATAGGAAAGTACTATTCCTTTCCTAAAGGCAGGAAACCATAGGCACAGACCCATCAGAAGACTGATGGGTTGAGTATGTTTGTGAAATCCTACCAGCTAACTTCACATTGTACAGAACATTCTTTGTAAGTCTGTTTTTCATCATACCTTTTTGTTGTAAGGAGGTAAGCAAAGAGCTCTTCATAATCAGCAAAAATAATTGGAATCTTCCCTGACTTCTCAGTAATCTCTGTCCCTGTTTCTGAGTGTTTCTCAACTTAAAATTGAGTCCAGGAGTTATAATGATAAATTCAGGGTCTGTGATCCTTATTAATGTTTTTAATGAATTTGGTAGTGCTATAGATGAGCTATAGGTTCTTTTTTGCATCAAGGCAGGTAATTCCTTAGTTTTCAGTAATTTAGTGTATTTTCTATGGAATCTGTCTTAAACTGCTATGTCTGATTACCGATGACACGCTTGCTAGATAAAAGACAGAATGCTGACTCTGCAATTCTATACAGTATTTTAAATGAGCTTGAGGCAAACTGTTAAGGACCTATTACAAATAGGAATGATTGGCAGTTTCCCTTAAGAATTTGTTACTGTGTGATTTCTTTCCTTCCCATGGCATTTTAGCAAGGGTCAATTAGGGATTGATAGTGTTCCTGAAATAGAAGTGCATGGCAGTAAGCATTAGCTTTGTTTTCACTAAAACATGTACAGATTAATTATTGATGTTTCTTTGGAAGCTTCTGTGCATTCTTTTATGTTGTTTAATCATTTGTTTTTAATGCTTCTTGCCTTCCTCCCCCAAACTAAGTTTGAAACCAGACCATTATAGATGTCTAATGCTGCCTGGCAGAGTAGAGTACATGTTTAAGACAACTCTATGATTTAGCAAATACTAGCACAGTAAAAAAGAAAAAATAGTATAAAAAATTTGAAAAACTCCTTAGCAGAATGGAGTGACAGAATTTGACCTTTATCTAACCTTTCTCTTCTTATGTGGATATGAACAATTCTGGATTAATTGTGCTTTAATTAGTATCTCTCCCACTCAAGCAAAAAAAGAGATTCTGCTTTTGGTAACTAGTTGTAAAAACATTTAAGATTCCCCAAGAATTTATATCTTACACTTTCTGCTTGGGTTGAGTTTGGCCTATATGTACATGTCTTAAAAATTTTTTCCTGGTGGTTTGAAGAAATCAAATGTGAAACCAAAGCTTAATTCACTAGGATTTCATTTCTTTTGCTTTCTTGCTCAAAGTCTTTCACTTTTAGTTCACTATGTGTTATTTTACAAGTTTTATTGATACAAAAATATCTTGCTTATTATAATTTTCATATCTAAATGAAAATTTCTCATTGCTTATTGACAAATGTACAAAATTCTGAATATCTTAAAATGGTCATTTAATTGAAATGTATTGTGTACACACTTAATCGTTAAAACTTTACAACCTTATATTTTTTTAGTTTGCTATAATAAGAGGAGTGGAGAGTACTCATGCACAGAGAGACTGAGGATTGACATTCAGGGGAGGGGTGAAAGGAATAGGTCATTGAAAAGACCATCTCTGACTAAACAAGGGAGAAAACAGGCATTCAGTTGAATAGGATCCAATCCCGGGTTAACCCTGCCCAACAGTAGGGAGGTCAGGATTAGAAGCCACACCTTAGTTTGAGAGCAAGGTCAAAACTGGGTTCTGTTTCTAGGAGAGGGGCACAGATTCACCAGATTTGAGAGAGTTGAGGAGCATGCAGTAGCCGGCGTTGGGACAAAGGCCCAGGTTGACCTCCTGTGGAGCACTAGTGACGATAGTTCTGGCTGTGCCTCTGATGGGAGTAAAATGGATAGATGTCTAGTTGACAATTACTTTTAAAAAAATTTCCATTGAGACCAAAGGAAAACAAGATTTGGGTAGATTGACTTAGCTTTTAAACAATAGTAGACATTGAAGCCAGATTTGTCGCTAAATTTACAGTATGGTAAATGGTCTTTAAATGTATATTGTGTTCTCTTAGTAATTTGTCTGGGTGTTAGCTCTGCTCTTAAAAAGGGGCTGCAGTGTATTTCTTTGGAACTTAAAATTGAGTCTAGGTAGGAGTTATAATGATAAATTCAAGGTCTTGAGCCTTATTAAAGTTTTTAATGAATTGTTTTCCTCTATGTAGTGGAATAGATGAACTGTATGTTTTTGCATCAATATAGATAATTCCTCAAACACTTCCTAAAGACCTATGCAGAATTCTAGGGTTCCGGGACTCTGATACCAAATCCAGTAGGTGAACCATGTGGTAACTCAGTGATACACAGTGGCACTTGGAGGTGCTTTATGGAGGAGCTGTACTGAGCCTGGACAGAGGTCTTAGCAGGAGGCTGGCAATCAAGCAAAGAAGGAGGCAGGGATGCCTCCATCTGTTCAGGGAACAATTCCACAGTGACATCATTCGGTAGGATTTAGACTTTGCTTAATTTTTTCTGTTCTTTAATGTTTCTCCCTGCACCCCGTAATGTTTTCTTTATCTGTTATAGTGATGCCTTATTTGAAATGGCTTAAAAACTGCAAAAGGAGGAAATTGGATCTAGAAAACTTTTAGGCTCTGAAGTAATTTGACTTTAAAAAAAAAAATTAAGATTTTTTGTGTGTTTGTTTCAGATTAAGTTTATTTAGAAAGTTACATGGGTAGTAGAAGTGAATCAGCGGGGCTGCCTGAGCTCAGGAAACATGTTACAGAAGCAAAAGAAGGGCCCTTGGAGCTGAGGAGGAAGAAAGGCAAAGCCTGGTGGGGAGAGGGAGGAAGGAAAAGGCTCAGGCATGCTTCCAAGAGGAGAACGCTGGTAGAAAGATTTTAGATAATCATAAATGGAATCATTAATTAGAGTGCTAATAACAAGAATGAAAATTATAATGGAACAGGCCAAAATAATATACCAGCTGGTTTGTGATCAACCTATTATTAAAGTAAAATTCTATTGAAATACTGTAACTTCAAGATACATTTTAGATTTTTTTAAAAATTTGTTAGTAACTAGGAATGGAGAATTTGGATGTGGGAGTGGGGGAGATTTATTTTTATAAGATAATTTTTATCCTGACAAGGATTATTTTTTAAAAATTTTTTTGCACTTTAAATTTTGATGTAAGCATGTTAAATAAGCATTTTATTAGATTGTAGGGGGTTTGGTATGTATTTTCTTTTCCTCTTAGTGATGTAAAATAGGAAGATATATTGAATTATGAAAACTGGACACCAAATGCCTTTACTGAAGATACATTGTTTGTAAGTCTACACTGGAACCAGGCATATAACTTTGCTTGGACTTGATTTATGACTCTGAAAAATGACAAATAATCACAATCTTATTACAAAATACCAGTGACTAAATTTCTAACTGAAGGTTTTTAAATTGGCAAATAGACAAACAGCCTAAGCCAGAAAATATTTTTAATTGCATATTTAATAAACTTATTTTAAGAAGTTCTCTTCCCCTGCCACAGTCTCCATTACTAAAATAATAAGATAATACTTGGAGCGAAACAGCTGTTGTCTTTTAATTCAAATCAGTTGGGAAATTACTGTTTGAATTCTGATGCTGCCACGATTTCTCAAAAATTAGTGTGAACAAATCAATCTTTAATTAAAATGCTACCTTTTGTCTCCTTGCAATTTTATATACAAATTAAGACAATATCAGGGTGATATATAAATTAACTCTAATTCTGAGTCTTGTCACTTCACTAAAAGAGTATTCTGCCCTTTTTTTTTTTTTTCAATTATTCAAGGCCAGTGACTTTTAGGAATGTTTTATACCACATATATCTTTTTAAATTAAAGCAAGTGCCTTGATACTATTCCACATAAATCATGCTTAACCCTCTATGGCAGTGGGGGGAATGTCTGGCCCAAGGGCCATATAAGGCCTGCGAAATCATTAGGTCTGGTCCTGCCAAAACATTAGGGGTGAATTAATTAAATGTTTGATGAAAAATGGCAGGCTAATTTTTAAGTTGGTAATTTTGTAGGGCCTGCAAATGATGTTATAAATATCCAAATGGCCATTGGCAGAATAAAGGTTCCCCACCTCTGCTCTATGGAATAAGTTATTGATGATTGCAGCCTATTGTAGGAGGGGGAGTTGATTAATAGCAGATCCTTTTTCTCTGGAAGGATATGTTCATGATGTTTACTACATAAGATCCTTTATGTGTTATTTCATTTGCTAATAAATTATTATGCTAATAAAGTATTCTGTGTTTAAATTATTTAAGTGCAAGGTGGGGTTCTAACTAA